TCTTTTCAATGCTTTTATTGGTTGTTCTACCTAGATGGGCTTTGAAACCAGCAAACATTATTGCCACCATTTTTCAACTAAGTAAGCACAGGCTCAGAAAGTAAAAGCAATAAGGAGATGGGCTAATTCAATCAAGAAAGAAAATCAACAATAAGTGAATCCAGTTTAACTAGAGAATCAATAATTTATACTTAAATCCCCAATTAATAAATATGGGTTAAATGAACAAGTTAATTCAACCATATTATATTTCAGCACTTCCTATGTATCAGCACTGTTTCAGGCTCTGGGGGAAATGTGGTGCATAAGACAGACAATACCCCTGTTGTCATTGAACTTATGCTTTAGTCGTGATAAATAGAAAAGAGAAATAAATAAGGACATCAGAAATTAGTAGTATGAAGAATTCATGAGTTAAATAAGAGCGGGTGATAATGTGGCCACATGACTACATAGACTGACTGTTTCAAGGAAGGCTCATCCAGGGAGAGATGCTGCAGTGGTGCCTGGAGGACAGAAGCAGGAGGAGCATCCCAAGCAGAGGGAGCACAGCTCCTGAGATGATCCCAAGGCCAGACCAGGAGGGCCTGTGTGGAGAGCAGACAAGCCAGGATATGGCCCAAGAGGAATGTGCCAGGAGAATGGTATGACCCGAGTTCCAGGAGCCAGTATGGATGGACGGATGGATGGATGGATGGGTGGATGGATGGATGGATGACCAAAAGAATGGGTGTGAGGAATAATAAAAAGAAGGGAAAAATAAAGAAATAAACAACAGTATTAATTTCAGGTCAATCAGATATTTTTTTACATGTTGATCTTTCTGTAAGTTTTCTATTAGTCCACATTTCTGCCTTAGCAAGTACTGAAAAATGATCATAACTCTTCTCTTTGATATTTTAAAAAAGTGCCATCCCTCAGGTTATCACCTTAAATTATCAATGACCAGAGAGGGTAGCATGAAAAAACCCAACATCTGTAGAAAGTATAATGAAGTGGGATGAATAGGTGTTAATTTTAAGAGATACTGAGAAGGCGAATTTTCAATGATACTTGATTTGAGTCTGTTTTGTACTGATCTGCCCCTTTCTCTTCAGGGAGTATAAAAGATATTCTTAGTTTATTAAATATTCACATTCACTGATTCTGATTACCAAAAGGGTGATTTAAACGATTCTCAAATTTCTCTTATTTTCTAATATTTACCTGTTGCATGAGATTTTATAAGCAAAAGAATACATATTTTTAGGTTGTACAAACTGAAACCACTCTAGCCAATTTGGTTCAGTGGATCAGACATCGGCCCTTGGACTGAAGAGTCCCAGGTTCAATTCCGGTCAAGGGCACATACCTCAGTTGCAGGCTTGATCCCTGGTCCTAGTAGGGGCCTGTCTGAAGATGCAACCGATCGAAGTGTCTCTCTCACATCAATGTTTTTCTCTGTCTCCCTCCCTCCTACTCTTTCTAAAAATCAATGGAAAAATATCCCCGGGTGAGGATTAACAAAACAAAACTAAACTAAAAAAACTGAAGCCCAAGCAATTAAACTGTAAATAAAGAGGCCCACTGTCTTTTGTGGGGTTACACAAATTATATCATCATTTCAAACCTCCGTTCCTCCTGCCAAAACTGGGATTTATGCATGACCCCAACTAGAATCTCAATAAAGAGCTTTGATTATAGTGGATGAAAGTAGCTTTATAAACATGACCTTGGTATTGTACACATCTTAACGGGCATCAGATCTTAGAGCTGACCTTACACTGACCCTGCGATTACTCCCAGGTCACCCATTCCCAACCAGAAACTTCTTTGTCTAAAGTCAACAAAAGCTGTCAACAACCACACCAACTACACCAATGGTGGTTGGAATTTGCAAATGCTTCCTCTCAGCAATCACAAGGCCATATCCAGAAATATTCATTAGCAGTTGTATTTGCATCTATTAAATGTAGATTAAGAGGATTTTATTTTAACAAGATTTTATTTACCCACTAATTAGAATGACAATTTATTACAAGTATGAAAATAATTAACTTAGGGCTGTAAAGCAGTAGAGCTCTTTGGCGGTAAGAAGGAAACAAAACCATTTTCTTCCCACTCCGTAGACCTCGTTTTGTACAACCACGTTCGTGGGCCATTGTTATTAATTTCACATTTTGACTTGCTCTTTATTTTCCCAGACAACTGAATTCTGGCGCTGTCAATTTCATGACAGTCTTTTAAAGATAAATTCGCCATGTATCAAAAGCAGTTGTTTAAATAAGCATTTGGCTCTGACAGTTTTGCTCTAGATACTTTTCAAGCAACAGCTAAAGAGAGCATTTTACCATCAGTCACGGCTCTCTTTGTTATCCTTTCTCTTTTTCCTCCAATCTAAGTAAATGTGTTCTTACAACCAGCACCGCCTCACAAAACTTCCCCTCACGTGTAGAGCATGTGACCTTCAGTACAATGAACAACAAAGGAACTAAATCCAGGATCTCCCTCCCAGAACTGGGAGAGCCATCGCATTACTTCCTTCATATATCCATCAGCGGTATCTCAAGGTGTCACTTTTGTCCAATGTCAGTAAGGTAAATAAAAAGATAAAGCTTCTTCACTAGGTTGATGACTTGATCATGACCAAGCCAAGCAAAAATCTTATTTAACTTGAAAATATGTGTAGGAAGCACACATGTAACTAACTATGCATTCCCACCTCCAACATTTTCAAAGGTATAATAACTTCCTCCTGCCCGTTCTTTCCTAAAAAAATAAATAAATAATCCTGTTATCTTAAGATAAAAGGGCCACAAACCTCCAAGACTTAATCCCTGCTTCAGGCGAATGACAAAAACTATTTTTCATTTGTAGATAACATCCTGAAAATATCCCCTCGACAGAAAATGTTCTGAACTAGACTCCGAAAGGCAAACGCCTTTGCTTCCTTTACGTTCTTCAGGAGGACAAAGGAGAGTGGAGAACAAACATAAAAGTTGACCTAAAACACATCAGTTTTAAATAGTAAAATACTTCTTAGTAAAATGAACACCTTCAGATTTCAACCTTTAGACTAGAAATAAACATTTGAGTGGCAGAACACGTTACCCTGTCCACTGAAGTTTAAAAATCACGTCATAGTCCTGGCCAGTGAAGTTAAGTGATTAGATCATCAGCCAGTAAAGGGAAGGGTCATGGGTTCCATTCCAGTCAAGGACTTGTACCTGGGTTGCAGGTTCCCGCCCCAGTATGGTTCTGTCATATCAATGTCTGTCTGTCTGTCTGACACACTCTCTCTCTCCTTCTCTCTCCTTTCCCCTCCCTTTCACTCTCTCTAAAATCAATAGACAAAATATCCTCTAGTGAGGATATTTAACCTCCTTCCCCAAATCCTATCATATTTATTTCTGATCATGTCACTGAACCGCTACTGTTTTCTGGGCTGCAGAGAAATGACTTATTCAGACTGATGTGGCACAGTTGTGTATGATTGATTGACCTGAAGCAGAAAGGGCCTTTGTCCTCAGCACCAGCGTACAGCAGGGCCTGTCTGGTGCAGGCTGCCTGTCCATCTGCAGCCAGCCAGCTGAACTACCGACGCCCCCGCTGGTAAGAGACTCAACAGGGTTTTCCCGGCATAATTTCCACTCTATGAGAAACTATCAATCCCAACCCACACCGTTTTAAAACGTCTCTAGATTCCAACTCATTACAATACAATGAGTCCAACCTTATTTTGGACATTCAGAAATCTCCATTCATTTTTTTAAAGTTTAAGGGGCGGTGGGAAACAAGCAGACAAAATGCTCTCAATTTTGGTTTCTTTTTCAGAAGAACACACTACTGCTGACAAAACAATGAATAGAACAGAAATCTTCCCGACTGTACATATCTCACAGCTTTTCTTTTTCTTTGCTGTTTCCTCCCATCTCAATAATTAGGGAAGAAAGAAAGAAATTTCCAGTCCACTGGTCATGCTCCACATCCTGTAATTTTGTTGTTTTTCCCCTGGCCAAATAGCTCCATTAATCAGCAGGAACAACATGCAGCAAACTATCTATACGTCCTGACATTATCCCCAGCAGAGAACTGAGGGTTAGAAAGTTGCTTCTGAAAAAGCCTGTTACCGTGAAGAGCTGTGACGCTGCCAGGAACCTTGGAGCAGCATCAGGATTACTCTGGCATAGTCTGAGCTTTGGTTACAAGTAAGAATAGGGAAAATTCAGTGAATGAGCATTTATTTAAGAACTAGAGACCCAGTGCATGAATTTGTGCATGGGTGCAGTAACTCAGCCTGGCGGGCCATTGGAGCCCATCGGGACATCTCGCCCATTCTGGTGGGAGGGACTGCAGGAGGTTGGCCTTGGGAGTGCACTGACCACCAGGGAGCAGCTCCTGTGTTAGCATCTGCCCCCTGGTGGTCAGTGTGCGTCATAGTAGCTGGTTGACCTGTCCTAATGGTCGCTTAGACTTTTATATATATAGATTGCATTTCTGTAGAGCCAAAGACTACTTTCAGAATAATTAAAATCACTCTGAGATACATTCTGACCCAGATAATTTCTGTTATTTCCCTACTTAAAAGTTTTGTGAATTACTAATCATTAAAAACTTTAAAATTGACCTACTGTTCCGCTGATATTTTATATTGACAGTGCAGTTTGGGCTCATACACTGATTTCTATTGATTGCTGTATTTCCTTTGTTCAGTGAGCTTGTTCCATTGATTACATTGATTCTAACAGTCCATTATTTTGATTGGTATCACATGTAGTGCTTTGTATTACTCTACCATGCAGTGCTAAAATAATCTTTTATTTGTTTAATTAGTTTAAATCTTAAATATGCAATTTTACATTCTGAAATAATGAAAATACTGAACCTTCCTTTTTTTCTCAAATTCACTTCATATTCATACTGATTCCATTACTGAATATCTAATTTAGACATTCTCTCTGACACACACACACACACAAATACAGTTGATATTGTAAGAGTTTATTCTGTATATATGCCCCTGTGTGTTTGTTAGTTATGCAAATAAGTGGCAGATCTTTAGTTCACAATAATATTTTAGTTATAAAACCAAAACAAACAAAAAGTACTGGTAAGTGAAAAAGACTTTATGTATAAACTCAATCTACATGTTAATATACATATTTAATAATAAATATTCACAGGTCTTAGAACTTAGAATGTATGTAAATAAATGGATTAAAATGAGACAGAGCTGAAGTCAGAGCTAATCCCAATAACTATTTCCCACTCTATATTTGCATATAAAGTGAACTGCAATTCCCTGGTACCTTTCATTTTTTTCTTCTTAAGCAAAAATAATTTATTATTAAATATTGAAAAATCAAAATAGAAATCACTTCTGAAAATGAAAATTATGTAAACAGATGGCAATTGGGACACATTTCAAAGGAGACTTTTAGCTTTGCTAATTTTTAACAAATAAGGGTGTAAATCAACATATACAAAAAAGCTACGCCAAAGTAAGACTTGCCATGAAACTTATATTTTAATATGAGCAAATATAAGACATTTGTAAACATCTCACATTTGATATTAAACTAATTCAATTACAAAGATAAAACAAAACATGATTCTCATATTTGCACTCAGTACTCTGAAATATACCCCTAACAGGTTTTATTCTGTTTATTTCCCCACCTATTGCAATCTAGGGCCTTATTGAACAGTTTCAATACACTGTTTTTGAAACTACTGAAAATATACCTTTCTTCCTAGTCAGGATTGTTAACAGCAGAAATATATGTGATGTGAGAAATATAGTGGCAATACCAAGTTTGTTTGATTCAAATGTAAGTACACTGTTGAGTTGCCACCAGCGAAAATGAATCCTGAGGGTGGTAAGATTATGTACCACCCCAAGTGGATGGCTTATATCATTCTAACCCAAACTGGCATTAGGAAGAAAACTGGCAGGCCCAAAGTGCTGGAGATGGGCTGCAAGTGCCCTAGACTTAACTCAGACACGTCCAGAGAAACGTGGAGAAAATGGGCTTTTGCAGATGGAAGACCTCAGAGCACCTCTGTCAAGTACATAGTGTGAGTGGAGAAAGATTGAAATGAAAGTGAGCACCTTGTAGGTGGAAATGACACTGACTAAATTGGGTCAATAACCCGGGTGCTTTTTCCTACGTGTGTTTGACTTGACCCAGGGCAAGCTGCAACAGAGAACAGACAGCAGCAGAAAGTACAGATTAGCTTTAAGGGTCAGCGGATCTCAGAAACCTGAGCACACACTGCTGCTCCTTTTTCTTCCTTTACAAACAAAATCAAACCACATGAGAACCCTTAAAGTTCCAGCAAGTAATAAGACCAGAAATATATATTGGTCTGAACCAATTTTAGACATCAACAACTTTGGACATTCTGAACCTCACATTTTTCACAAGAATCTACGGTAATGGGTTATCATTCATTATCTATCACAAACATTTGCTTCTAAGATGCTTTGATCAAATCTCAGGTAGCTCATCAATTCTCCACACGTTATTTATTTTCCTGAAGATCTTTCTGTGCCAATGTCTGAAAGGAGAAAATATTAATAGTTACTCATAAGGAAAGTGAAATTCTTAATAAAGGGATTATATACAATTTATGTAAATTTAATGCCACAGTAAGTCAGTGCATTTCTCAATTTTATGTTTAAAAGTTTTAATATGAAATATAAGTCCTAACATAACCTAACAGAGCATTTGTGACAAAAACATGAAACAAAATGTAACATATTAAAATAAATTTATACTCCAACATGCTTTAAAGCTAGCTATACGGGTGTCCAATTAAAATAGACCATGGCAAATACCGTGTTCATTTCATAAACAACCAAAGAAGAAGGTTAAAAGCAATTTGAAGTGCTCCAAAACAGTTTGAAAATAAATTTTCAATAATTGAATCCAAAGTTCTTGAGATCATAAAAATCTGTAATGAGAAAGTTTTAGGATCAAATGTAATAAAAGTACAATTTATGCCTATCAAAAACAAAAAGCTTTTAGCATCATGATAATTAGACCCCTTTAGTGCATGAGAACAGTTCCCATCAAGGGAATGTTGTGTGGTCAAGTTTGAATTCTTTTTTAACTGAGTTTGAAATTGTACACATTCTCTTTGACTATAACTTGCTGTATGTAGCACCTTGCTCTAGGAACTCAAAACTCTTCACAGATATATATCCTGACCTCAGGTTTTTTGTTTGTTTGTTTTTTGTTATTGCTGCTGTTTTTGACATATATACCATTAAAACAATCCTTACAGAAGTAACAAGTTACTACTGGTAATCAAAAGTTAAAGAATCAATGATGGCTTACCAACTCCAAAAATTCTATTTCTGTTTGGAGAGCTTCATAAACACTTTGCATGTCCTCTTTCTTATAAAGTTCTAATTCCTTTTTAAGTCTGTTTCAAATGAAAAATTCACCCTATTAGTTCAGCAATCTTGTATGATAATTTTTTTATTGCATGAATGGTGGCATATCTGCATCTCTATAGCCAGAATTTCAACTTAACACTAAAGAATTTGGAAAGGAATTTTAATAATCTGTAATTCTATAAGGACTACATAAAATTTCGTGAAAAAAAAATGCCCATAAATAAAATAAGGTAGACTGGCCTTAGCTGATTTGGCTCAGTGGATAGAATGTCAGCCTGCAGAATGAAAATGAAAGGTCCTGGGTTTGATTCCAGGTCAGGGCATATACCAGGGTTGTAGGCTCAACCCCCAGTGTGGGGCATGCAGGAGGCAGCCAATCATTGATTCTCTCTCATCACAGATGTTTCTATCTCTCTCTCCCTCTCTCAAATCAATAAAATATATATATAAAAAATAAGGGAGACTGAATAATAAAAAATACTTTAAAATTTAGGGTAATTAAGAAAGCAACATGGTTTTGTAGGGAATCTACAGTACTGTCTGATGGCCTCTATTTTAGTCCTGGCCACTACCAAGCCAAATGATCTATGCTAAGTCATTTAGCCTCTCGGAACCTCACCTGAGAATTTTAAGTGCATTAAAAACATGACCTTTAAGATTTCTTCTTGCTCTAAAATTAAAACACTAATTTGGTTTTACATATATGTCATAAAAATATATTTTGAGCGTGAAAAAGTAGTATCAACGTTTCTTTTCCCCAGTTAAGCCTTTAATCCTTTGAATATTCTGAAATTATTTTTAAAAATTATTTTATGCACATTTTTATATGAAAAATAGTGATTTAACAGTCTTCCATTTTTAGCATTATGACTAACATCTTTCCAGAAAACAAAAACCATAAGCAAAAGCCATGAGCTGTGACTGGAGAGGTGGCGAGTCGGGGCCTGAGACTGGGCAGCTGGAAGGGAGAGGCTGCCCTGAGAACAGACACTAAGAGCATCATGTGTCTCTCACACACCTGACCACGCTGGGCCAGCCACAAGGAGAGCCCGGTCCTGAAGGGGAGAGGGCCGGGGTCCTAGGCCAGTGGCACTCCCGCTACACTAGCAGAAGCAAAGAAAAAGTCTCTCTGAAGGGAAGTTTAAGATTATTTAGGCTCGTAGGCCTCCTACAGAGTAAGATCAATGAATTTGTTATCAAAGATCACCAAGTACCCAAGAAGCAGGCCACTATAAGTAAAGGTCACCAGAGACCATAGACAACCGATAGGAAGAACTACAGATCGGTAAGAAAAAATAACACAATTGAAAACGGACCCACCCACACACACACACACACACACACACACATTTATCAGATTATTCACCAAAGAAGATATCCAAAGGCTAACAGAATATGAAAAGGTGCTCAACTTCATCAAGAAAGTACAAAAGAAAAGCACAACGGAATGCCACCATGCACCCACCAGAACAGTTCAAATGAAAAACAGCAAATACCAAGTGTTGACGAAGACATGCATAAACTAGAATTCTCTGACACTGCTGGCACAGGTTATCATTTTCCACTCTTTTACTTTTAACCTATCTATGTCTTTATTTTTAAAGTGAGTTTCTTGTAGAAACTGTATAGTTGTGCCACACTCTTTTATCTAACATGATGATCTCTTTGAGTTGGTGTATTTAGATCACTTACATTTAATATAATTATTTATTTGGCTGGATTAAAAATTTTGCTAATTGTTCTCTATTTGTTCCATCTGTTCTTTGTTCTTTTTTCCTCTCTTTTTTCCTGTTTTGGATTACTTGATTTTTTTTTTTTTTTTATGATAATTTTATCAACTAGGGGTCCAGTGCAAGAAATTCATGCATGGGTAGGGTCCCGAGCTGCTGTTGGCTGCTGGCTGGGGCCTCCCTTCCCGTGGTTGGCAGGCCGGCCCCACCCCCTGGTTCAACTCCTGGCCAAGGGGGAAATTTTCATATTAGGCTTTTATTATATAAGATTGACTTGTTTGCATACACATTTTAAAATTTTTATAATGCCTATGTTGGATTTTATAATACACAACTTCCATTTATTACCATCCACTCTCAAATAATATTGTAGTCCTACTTACAGTATAAAACCTTTACAACAGTATGTTTCCAATTACTCCCTCATGTTTTCTCATTGTTATCACATAAATTTTTCTTTTACATTTACTATAAACATAAATCATATTGCTAGTATTTTTGACTTAGTAATTTATCTTTTTGAGCAATTAAAAATAAAAAAGGCTCTTATATTTACCTTCAGTTCAGCAATTTCTGATGCTTTTATTTCTTGGTATAGTTCTGAGTTTCTTCTATCTGATATCATATTCTTTCTTCCTGAAAATATTATAGCCTTTTTTTGTAATGTAGTCTGTTTTCAAAGAAGTCTACACTCATATTTATTAAAAATATCATACTGTGCCTTCATATGTAAAATATATTTTCATTGGGAATTCTGGGTTGACAACTCTCACTTGATAGTCATTCGTTTGTCTCCGGTTCTACATCATTTCTGATGAGAAGTCTACTGTAACTCCGATCTTCATTTCTTGTATATAATGTCTATGTCTTCTCTTTTTCTGCCTTCCTTCATGATTCCCTCTCTATCTGTGCTTTTCAGAGGATTGAATATAATGTGTAAAGATGTTTGCTTTCTAAAATGCAGCTTGGAATCCTCTGAGCTTCTTGAGTCTGCTTTAAAGTATTTCATTATTTTTGTAATACACTCTGCCACGGTCTCTTAACATTATGGATGTCAGAACAGTATGGCTGAATCTCAAACACATTACACTAAATAAAAGAAGTGAAGCAAGAGGCTATATTGGGCTAAATAAAAGAAGTCAGACCAGGTTACATACCAAATTATTCCATTTATATAACATATTGGAAAAGTCAAAAGTAGGAAAAGAAAATAGATCAGAGGCAGGGAATGGACTGTGGCCCTTGATTATAAATGGGCAAGTGGGGGCATTTTGGGATAATGGAAGTATACTGTTTTGATTGTGATGATGGTTGTATAATTAAGTGTATTTGGCAAAATTAATATTATAGAATTGCATATTTAAAAGGGTGAATTTTATTGTATGTAAGTTATACCTCAATAAGCCTGTTCTTAGAAATTGATGACAGGAATCTACATTCCTATAAAATAATGGCAACCACCTAAATAAAAACAATCTCAATTACAATGCCAAATAATGCCATTCTTACAAGCTAATTAAGAAGCAGGTGATATTACAAACTTGAAATTACACTTGAGTACAGAAATAAATATGTTAATCCTGCAGAACCAAATGTGAAGTCTACACCAATGCAGAGACTGAAGCACAACTAGTGGAAGAGGAAAAATGAAAGGGAGCGCATGGGGGGGTGGTGATGTAAGACAGTTTAAACGACCCTCAAAAAGAGCAAGGCCTACCCTGGGAGGGAAAACACTGACAGCAGGCCTGAGGCCTCATGGTTGGGAATACTGGCTTTTGTCAAATCGAAGGAAATGGGCTTTTGTTGTTATTGTTTTCAACATATTTCTAGTGATTTCAGAGAGAAAGGGAAAGGGAGAGAGAAATATCAATGATGAGAGAGAATCATGGATCGCTACTTCCTGCATACCCCACGCTAGGGATCCAGCCCGCAATCTAGGCACGCGCACTGACCAGGAATCGAACCCATGACCTCTTGGTCCACAGGTTCACGCTTAATCACTGAGCAACACCGGCTGGGCTATTGTCAGATATTTTATATTTCCTTGGGCTTGGGAAAAAGTGGGCTTTTATTCAAACTATCCCACCTCTTTCCCGGCTTCTCCCAGGCTTGTGTTTATGCCCTATCCATCCATTCTCTTTCCTGGCTTTTCTGGGGCTTGTGTCCCACCCCTGCCAGATCTTCTCCCCACTTATGCCCTCCCCCTTTATCGTCCCCACTGTGGCTCCTACTGCACATGCTCTCAGTGAAAGGAAATAGCCCTCACCGCGTTCTCCCTCCCACACTCATCCTGCAGACCTTGCTGGTCACACACACCACCACCACCTACCTCATCCCCCCTTAACTCGGCCCCACCCTCCTGGCCGTGGCTGTAAAGCTATCCTTCCTGTCTCATTGACCAGGGGGCTTGTTTTGCTCCATTTGGCTGAAAGATGGGGTTCCTCCTCAGGGTGACTCCTCTTTTGTTAATTATCTAACTAACTGCCCACCTGACACTGCAACTGCCTACTCTAACGCTGCTACGCAATGCGCTGAAGGCTCCATTTCAATATATTTATCTTCTCAAATAAAATGGTAGGGCTCTTTCTTCCCACCGTATCCCCAACACTTGCCCTGCCCCTTTCAGTTCAAATGGAGGACAGGTCCTGTAAGATCCTTCCTGGCCATTAGCATTGGGCGGTGCTGATGCTTGCTTTTAGTTAGTTAACAATAAGAATGAGAGACTACTGAAATTAAGGAGGGCGTTTAGAGCAAATTATAGGAAGTATTTCACTGTTCAGCATATAATCAAGCTGTAGAATTTAGAGCTGCACTTAAAGATGGCTGTTGCTAGCTTTAAAAGAGGCTGATGATAATGGGCTGAATATTAATGCGGTAGCAGCAAGCCAACAATACATAACGGTAAGCAGTGCATAGACCGGCTGCCTATGGGAGTCAAGACGGACCCCCGCACCGCTGCACAGTAACGAAGGGCAGTCTGCACTGGTTACTGTCGCCTTCTTTGGAATCACCCATTAATGACGAGGATGGCCAACAAAGCCATCTAGTTCAGCAAAACTCTTCTTCCTTGTATTTTCATCATTTCCTGCAGCCTCCCCATTTTTTCCGGGGTCGTATAAAATTTGTTTCTAAGTGTCATAGAAAAGCCTTAACTGAAAGGACATTCCTTTCAGCCTCAGAGCTGTACAAAAGTATTATTTAATTAGAAAAAAGGGAAAAGTTCATTCGAAGTCTTAGTGCACCGACAAAATGCTATTAAGGTTTAAGTGTATTCCATCACAGTCTTTTGTTTCCAT